CAGGTACAAAGCAACGAAATGCAGTTTGCATCTATCCAGAAGTGCTTAGCAAGAAAAATAAATTGGTAGATATATATAGTACAGTATACAGTAAGTTGCTTTGAATATGCTATAGGTATAAATATATACAGTTTGTGAGTGTACAGACTATGAACAGGTTATAATATGAAGGGGTATAAACAGCTATATAAAAGAAAAAAAAATATATATATATAAGTATGTGAGTACTTATGAACAGTGGATAGTAGATTATGTGTACAGTTTGTACAGTAGTGGGCTAACGGATGAAAGTGCAGGTGGTGGTGTTACAGTCCATGTGCTGTTGTTGTGTGTATGAGAATACAGACTGTTGTTGTTATTCAGATGTCAGGAGGCAGAGTTCAGGAGTGTGACAGCTGTGGGGAAGAAGCTGTTCCGATACCTGGTGGTTTTAGTCCGGAGTCTCCTGTAGCACCTCCCAGAGGGCAGGAGGGTGAAGAGTCTGTGTGCTGGGTGGCTGAAGTCTTTTATGATTTTTCCAGCCCTTTTCAGACACCGCTTCCTGTAGATGTCCTTTATGGCAGGAAGTGGTGCTCCGGTGATGTGTTGGGCGGCTTTCACCACCCTCTGCAGCGCCTTCCGGTCTGAGGCAGAGCAGCTCCCGTACCAGACTGTGATGCAGTTGGTCAGGATGCTCTCAATGGTGCAGCGGTAAAAGTTCACCAGGATGTCTGAGGACAGGTGGTTCTTCCTCAGAGTCCTCAGAAAGAAAAGGCGCTGGTGAGCTTTCTTGATCAGTTTGGAACAGCCGGTCGTCCAGGTGAGATCCTCGGAGATGTGGACACCCAGGAACTTGAAGCTGTTCACACGCTCCACCACCGCCCCCTTGATGTAGATGGGTGGATGTGGGTCAGCGTTCCTCCTAAAGTCCACGATGAGCTTCTTAGTCTTCTCAGTGTTGAGCAGCAGGTTGTTGGTGTCACACCACTCAGCAAGACCTGATCTGAGCTGAGCCGATCTGTGCAGTCACATGGAAAAGGGGCATAAGTTCAGTCGTGGCCGTTAGTAGAATCGCCCTGCTGTACAGTATCGAAAGAGCACAAAACAATGTTCTAGTTTCAGACTTTTATACATTTTGGCCATGGTGATGCAAACACATTTTACACATCACATAATTTTTCACTCTAAATGCAAAAAGTACTAAATCAACAGATGATAGTCTTGTATTATTGTATCTCTGAACTGGTAATTGTATTCTCAGTGTATGATATCTGTATGTGTGTATGTTTCCAGTCCAATAACGTCCCTGTGATGCAGCACCCCCACATGACCCGCCTCCACCCGCTGCTGTCCTACAGCCCCGAGGCCTTCTCTCCTCAGAGGGCCTCACCTGGCTTTTCTCCTGACACAGGTAAGCAGTCTGCTCTTACCTCTAACACACAAGATGTGTTTTGTTCTTCCCATGTGACTTTTGCTGCTGTCCCTGAAGCAGGTATGTCGAGGAGCCCTCACACCCCCTGCTACCCCGTCTCCCCTGGAGGAATGGCTCAGATCCCACACTCCCTCGGATGGCTGTGAGTGAAGCATACCGTACATTTACATCTCTCCACTACATGTAATGAAAAAAAAACCCTGAATGCTGGAGCTTTGTCATTTTTGCAGACATGTCAACATCAAATTAATCAATTTCTGAGTGTAATGAAGACTTTCTTCTTCAACAGGAACAGCTTTTAATACACCACATAGTTTGAAAATGTTTCCACTTAATTTTCTCCCTAAATGTACGTACATGTGTTCCAAAAGTTTCTGAACTCTGACAACACGCTATCCATAGCAGAAATCCTGCTGACACTGTAGAAGCAGATCTCTGTTGGTTCCTCTGAAACAGAGGGATTAAACAGCTGGGTTAAAATGACCTCCAGATGTTACGTTCAACACAAAGGAAAGAGCTGTTGTTTTTGTTCCTTGTTAAAAATGGCTGCAATGTTTCTCTACTGTGTTGTCTCATTTAGTAATTTGTGATATGTACATGCAGAGAAACTGTGGTGTTGACTTTCTGTTTCATATTGCATCAGAAAATATTTGACCATCAAGCCTGAGTTTGGATTATAGGAACTGTTAGAACGATAACGTTCTTTCTTTTTGCAGACCTGGACAGTCCATGTATCCCATCGCTGGAGGATTCTCACCTGCAGCTTTGGCTATGAATGCCTCCAGGTCAGCTGTGAAAATAAATAACCACGTCATGTATTTTTATTTTTAATACAGATCTGTAGTATGATTGCTGCTTTGCAGCTATTCTAGGACCATATACAGTTCACATTAAAGTCAGATCTCCAACAGCTCCACCTGCTTGACCAAAATATTACTGACATTGAAAAATGTAATACACATGGTAAAGTTTACCTTAAGGGTTCAACTTTTCTAATAATTACTCTTTAATGTGTATGTAGACAATGTTGTGTGTTAGTTGTGTCTATGATGGTGTCAGGTTGGTTTTATCTGTTTGCATTGCACATTTTATATAGCAAATAGCAAAGACTTTTAAATTATCATCATCAACCGTGCATAACATCATCAAAAGATTCAGAGAATCTGGAACAATCGCTGTGCGTAAGGGTCAAGGCCGTAAAACTCTACTGGATGCTCGTGATCTCCGGGCCCTTAAACGTCACTGCACCTCAAACAGGAATGCCACTGTCAAGGAAATAACAGAATGGGCTCAGGAATACTTACAGAAAGCATTGTCAGTGAACACAATCCACCGTGCCATCCGCCGTTGCCAGCTGAAACTCTACAGTGCAAAGAGGAAGCCATTTCTAAGCAAGCTCCACAAGCTCAGACGTTTGCACTGGGCCAGGGGTCATTTAAAATGGAGTGTGGCAAAATGGAAGACTGTTCTGTGGTCAGATGAGTCACGATTTGAAGTTCTTTATGGAACACTGGGACGCCATGTCATCCGGACCAGAGAGGACAAGGATAGCCCAAGTTATCAACGCTCCGTTCAGAAGCCTGCATCACTGATGGTATGGGGTTGCATGAGCGCTTGTGGCATGGGCAGCTTGCATGTCTGGAAAGGCACCATTAATGCAGAGAACTTTGTTCAGGTTCTAGAACAACATATGCTCCCATCTAGACGTCATCTCTTTCAGGGAAGACCCTGCATTTTTCAACACGATAATGCCAGACCACATTCTGCAGCAATCACAACATCATGGCTATGTAGGAGAAGGATCTGGTTACTGAAATGGCCAGCCTGCAGTCCAGATCTTTCACCTATAGAGAACATTTGGCGCATCATAAAGAGGAAGGTGTGACAAAGAAGGCCCAAGACGATTGAACAGGTAGAGACCTGTATTAGACATGAATGGGAGAGCATTCCTATTTCTAAACTTGAGAAACTGGTCTCCTCTGTCCCCAGACGTCTGTTGAGTGTTGTAAGAAGATGGGGGGATGTCACACAGTGGTAAAAATGGACTTGTCCCAACTTTTTTGGGATTTGTTGACGCCATGAAATTTGGAAACAACAGATTTTTCCCTTAAAATGATACATTCTCTCAGTTTAAACTTTTGATCTGTGATTTGTGTTCTATTCTGAATAAAATATTAGATGTTGGCACCTCCACATCATTGCATTCAGTTTTTATTCACAATTTGTTTAGTGTCCCAACTTTTTTGGAATCCGGTTTGTAAGTGACAAGCTGAAAAGATTAAACAACAATGTAAACAAATCAAACATTTATTTAAAAATCATTTTAGGTTCCTTACTGTATCAAATATTTTTTATTCATTTTATATTTATACCAAAAATTGGAAAAAAATATAGTAGTGCATAAAATTCTGTAACTTAAATTACCAGTATTAGCTTAGTTGCCTGAATTTTTCTAAAAAAAAAAATCTAGGAACAAACAATTCATCCATCATCTTTATCCACTTCTTCCTTTACAAGTCACGGGGTTCACTGGTGCCCATATCAGCCATCACTGTGTGGAGGTGGGGGACAACATGTCTCCAGTCCATCACAGACAAATAATTCAAAATATGTAAATACAAAAGTAAACAGACTTCAGCCTACCATAGTACATTAACCTTTAACTCAACATAAAATACAGACTTCACAGTATTTTAACCATATTGCTCTAACATTTGTTATATTTTCAAAACTTAACCTAATATGAAATATACAGACTTCAGTCTTAACCATATTGATTCATATTTAGTCAATCTTGAACAAAATTTCAAAACCTGTGCAAGTCTGCACAAAAACTTCTGAGCTATAATTTATAAACCGTATCATTTAGAACTGGCTCCAGGTGATGTGTCTCATCTGTCCTCTTCAACCTGTTAAAAAGACAAATTACATAAAGTTTGTTGTACAACTTGTCTATAAGTTTTAGTAGAATATGAGAAATAACATTTACCTTTGAGCTGCAGCTGCATCAGAGCTTCTCCCATTTGTTGTTTCATGGTGAAGTTGTGGCGCTGCTTTATTGCAAAAAAAATATATCTACATGAAGGAATAACGTACATTGAATGACACGCTGCAGGAGGAAGCTTCTTCTGCAAGCTGTGGGCTGCACACAGGTGCTAAATAATTAAAAATTATTTATTTTTAAAAACATTCATGCTGATCGTGTGGCTCATCCATCAATCATCCAGTTGTGTGTCATGTCCAATCTTACTTTGAAAAAACTTGATCAAACAAAAAGTATGAGTCGAACTTTGTTTTTTCACAGAATTTGTTGTGCTGTGTGTTCTGTCTTAATAAACTTTGAAAAATCTCAACAAAGGAAAAATAACAATTTATAAGTTCAGCTGTGTGCTAATAAAAGATCCAGGTAAAGGAAGTTTTGAATCATTATGCAAATGTTTTATCAATTATAGTGTTAATTTCAGAGCAGATTAAATACATATTGTGTATACTGCAGTATATATACACACACAATGTATTTGTCACAATTATGTTTTGTTGTAGCTTTGGTTTTTAATGGAATGTTTGTGTTTTCATACAGTCTGGTGCCAAGTAGCTTCTCTCCATGTTTGGTGTCGAACCCCCAGTCGTCAGCTCCCCACTCCGCAGTCGCCCCCACAGCAGTGAAGCAGGAGCCTGCTAGCTGCAGCCAGCCTGGGTAAAATCACTTCTGTTAACGAGTCGCCTCATGTTTCATTTCTAACAGCTAATGTCACGGACCTGTGTGGTTTACAAAAGAAAGAGCATCAAACAAGAAGCTGAATTTCAGCCAAGTTGTTACACGTTGTCTCCGTGACCTGCTGTCTTGCAGAAACTCTACGTTTGACTCGGAGCGAGAGAAAGAAGAAGAAAAGAAGCCTCACATCAAGAAGCCGCTCAACGCCTTCATGCTGTACATGAGGGAGGAGAGGCCCAAAGTGGTGGCTCAGTGTAACGTGAAAGAAAGCGCCACCATCAATCAGATACTGGGACAGAGGGTGAGTATTTAAAAAACGTTTTAATTACAACTTCAACCAAGAATGCTTAGAGCATAAAATCTGAATTTTACAACAACAACAAAAAAAGTGATTCAAATGAAACGAGTACCAAACCAATAAATCTGTTTAATTAGTAGTAAAGATGTTTGTTGTACTGGAGTGATGAGTTGTAATTTTACAGGAAATAACAAAGCAAATAGCTGCAGATGACTCGTAAACACTGACAGGTTTTCTACACAGCTTCTCTGTCTGCACTAGTTCTGTTTTTAAGTTGATGTATCAATAAATAGTTCATATACTTTATTAACTTGTGCGTTTTTTTTTTAGTTTTTTTTTTTAGAAATATACCAAGCTTATTATCATAGTCCAGATTGATTAAAACATAGAATTATTTTAATGCTCGAAATTCATAATAACAATGTCGGTTATACGAGTAAAAAAAAAAATAATTGTTTTTGTTAAAGTGAGAAATATACAATCTGAAAGAAAAACAAGAATATTTATATGGAAGTACCAACAGAGCTAGAGAAGAAGTGGAATTGGAAATAAAAATTAATCATGAGTCTGAGATTTTAATATCCAGTACCTTTAAAAATAGAACATAATATCATTCAAAGTGTTAATAATTTAGTTGAAAATGATGTGGTTCTCAGCTGTTTGTCTCAAACTCTGCTCAGGCGGCTGTGGCTCCGTGGTTAGAGCAGTCGTCCTCCAATGCAAGATTTGGGGGTTCGAATCCACCAGCAGTCACGTGCCGAAGTGTCCGTGAGCAAGACACTGAACCCCTCATAGCCTCTGATGTGTGTCCCATCAGTGTATGAATGTGATCTAAAGCTCTGATTAGTCTCTTTAGAATGATTTGTTCAATTAGCTTTGTAGAGATCTAACAGAGTGCTGTATGAATGGGTAAATGAGGCACAGATTGTAGTTAAAGCGCTTTGAGTATCTCAATAAGATAGAAAGGTGCTATATAATAAGTACAGTCCATTTGCTTAGGGAGGCTACAGTACAGATTAACATGTCACACCTGCGCACGTGGTGGTGAAGTGTGTTCCTTGTCTGTCCACAGTGGCATTCTCTGTCCAAAGACGAGCAATCTAAATATTATGAAATGGCTCGCAAAGAGAGACTCCTGCACTCAAAGCTGTACCCAAACTGGTCCGCCAGGGACAATTATGTGAGTACACGCATGACACGGCAGAAAGCTGATTTCACACCTTGCACTCATCCGTTTTATGCTTGGCAGGGTAAGAAGAAGAAGAGGAAGAGGGTGCAGGGTGACGCTCAGTTTGAAGGTGAGATGTACGAAACGTGTCAGGAGGTTACTACTGCTCGTTTCCAGATGAGTTTAAAAGAACCTCAACGTGAAAAGTCACACCAGTACATCATGATGGGATCTGAAGGGTATGAGGATCATCACAGTTTGACCCTGGGACATCAGGGCGCCCCGCACCGTTAACAGAACCGAGTGCGCCGTACGACCGAACCGAACTTCACCCCCCCCCCCCTCCACCTGTCGGTACTGGCGTAACGCTAATTAGTTGCGCGCAATACTAGCTAAAAAGCTAAAAACAAACAACGTGCATCTCAGCTGTCTCTCCACCCAGCTCTAAACTGTCGGTACAGACAACTCAGCTCAGCTGTCTCTCTCCCCACCCCGCTCTAAACTGTCGGTACAACCACGAGCAGGTCTGTCTCTTAGTTCCACAGTCCATGGACCAAGAAAAGAGTCAAGTCATGAAAGACAGAGAATCTGGGAAATGAATCATTCCTGCAGGAACAGAAGAGGCTGAAAAACCAACAAGCTAAGAATTTAGTCAAATGTTCTTCACATGGCTGGAAAATGCATTATTTTAAGAAGATTATTATTATTTTTAATTTCCAGGGAATTATGCCCTTGGAAAACTACTGGGGGTGCCACCTAAAATCTATATCTGCCCCTTATTTAAAAAATATAAAATAACTTTAAACAATCACTTAAATTAATCACTTTAATATCCACTTTAAAGCTAGGAATAAAAAGAAACACGTTTTGTGTTAGCAGAATTTAATTTTAACTTTGAAATTTATCCAACATTAATGAAACTTACCTCAAGTTGCCTTTTTGGACATGCATGCAAATATTTGTACAAATTGTACTTGAGAGGAGATTATTACAGCCTCATATAAAATCAATGATGATGATGATGATAATATCGAAATTGGATCGGTATCGGCCGATATTTAGATTTAGGTATCGGGATCGGAAGTAAAAAAAAAAAAAGTGGATCGGTGCATCCCTAATTAAAACAATACGCCCAACAGCAGCACGAACATGAGTCTGTGTGAGCAGATGAGCACGAATGAACACAGCAACATGAAACAGATCAGCAGCAACATGAAACAGATCAGCAGCAACATGGAACAGATCAGCAGCAACATAATGTGATTTTTTTTCACAGTGATTATTCTGGTTAGAGATTCATGAGTCTTAACAGCCTCAGGGTAGAAGCTGTTCCTCAGTCTAGTGGTTCTACACTTAATGCTCCTCAACTTACTTCCTGAGGGGAGCGGGACAAAAAGTGTGTGTGCTGGGTGAGTGGGGTCCTTCATGATGCAGGTGGCTCTCTTCCTGCATCTGGAGGTGTAGATGTCTGTGATGGTGGGGAGACTGACTCCAAGACTTCTGTGCAGCCTTCACCACTCTCTGCAAAGCTTTTCTTTCTGCAGCTGTGCAGCCTCCATGCCACACGTTGATGCTGGAGCACAGGATGTTCTCCACTGCACACCTGTAGAAGGAGGTGAGGACTGAGCTTCCCAGTCCAGCTCGTTTCAGCCGTCTGAGGAAGTTCTTGGAAGAACTTCTGGTGGCTCCAGAAAATTTTCCAAGGCTTCATAAGCATTGATACCACCCTTAGACAGACATCGCGTCACGTACAGTTTTCATCACGCCAGCTTTCTAAGGTCAAGGTCATAAATAAAGGTCCAAGGTTATACAAGGTTTTTGCATGTCAGAGCCACTTCTATAGGTTGTTGTATAATAATTGTAACCAGATGTGTATTGTGCTGTATGTGGTACTGCTGTTGTAATTTTTTGTTGCAGCCTCATATTTTTCCTTAAACTACATGTTACTACATCCTGATGCATGCTCAATAATCCAGGTAGAAAAATCTAAAAAAAGTTAAATCTGGTCCTCTGGACATTCAAAAAAAACCAAAACAAAATAAATCAACAAAAAAAATGTAGAAACGTTTCGTCTCTCATCCAAGAGACTTCCTCAGTCTGAGGTGCTGTATTCAGCTCAGTCTCTTAAATAGCACCTTCTCAGAGTGGATCAACCAGTTTTGCTGCTGACAACCAAAACCAGCTGATCACATGCTCAAGAAGGACCATCAGCCTAACAATGGATCATTAGCACACTGATGGATGTTTACTATTCACAGAGGGCTGAGTGATACTAGCAATCACAGCATTGTAAGAGGGGGACAATCATAAAATTAGTGTTCAACTGTCCCCCTCTTACAATGCTGTGATTGCTAGTATCACTCAGCCCTCTGTGAATAGTAAACATCCATCAGTGTGCTAATGATCCATTGTTAGGCTGATGGTCCTTCTTGAGCATGTGATCAGCTGGTTTTGGTTGTCAGCAGCAAAACTGGTTGATCCACTCTGAGAAGGTGCTATTTAAGAGACTGAGCTGAATACAGCACCTCAGACTGAGGAAGTCTCTCGGATGAGAGACGAAACGTTTCTACATTTTTTTTGTTGATTTATTTTGTTTTGGTTTTTTTGAATGTCCAGAGGACCAGATTTAACTTTTTTAGATACATGTTACTACACTTGTTGCTCCATAATGACAAAGTACAACATTGCAAACTTTTTTTTTAAACAGAAAGGTTCGGTTTTCTTCATGAATGTCTCCTGCTTTCGAGCTGTTGATGTCAAAATGTTTGTTTCCTGTTGACGTGTCACTGGTTAATCTAAAGATTGGAATGTAAAAGCTGCAGTCGGTGTGCTGACGACGTTTTGTTTTTGTTCCTCAGGTGCTGCTGCAGCTTCTGCTGACGACTTCCCACCACAGCTAAAGAAACCTCGTGAGGAGCTACCCCCCACACACACTCCAGTCATCCAGACTTCACACATACGGCCCCACCTGACACAGCCGCACACCGTGTCTCACCTGACGCACACCCACCTGTCTCAAGCCAGCCCCGCCTCCTCATTGGACTCCCCGGCAACTCCCACCACAGCTCTAGCCTCACCCGCCGCCCCGGCTGCGACACACACCGAGCACACATACTTGTCGCACAGCTACGGCGGACACACCTCGCCCTACACGGAACAGCTGCAGCCGCTGTCCCTCACCACCAAACCCCACCAGACCACCCAGGTCCTGAACCACAACACTATCACTCCAGGTCCTTCCACGCCCTCCTCCTCCTCCTCAGACACACCTGCCTCCTCACCCCTCACGGTCTCCTCCATCAGATCCCCTCATCCCCCTTTGCTGCTGTCTCAGCCGTTCCTCATCCTGCCTTCGACCTCCTCCGACCAATCAGCTGCGAGCTCTCACAGTGCCTTAACTGGTCTGCAGTCTCTGTCACTTTGAACAGCCAATCAGCTGTGAGGATCTGCTCCTGCTGAGCAAAACAAGTTTAATAAAGACAGCATTAAATGTACCTCTTATTGCTGTAAATGAGCATTATTTGTATATTTTTATAGATCTTTCATGTTTTATACTAGTCTGAAAAGAACATAATTGGTCAATATTTGACTGCGTCTTTTTTTTTTTTACTTTTTTTTTTTTTTCAAACTAACTTTTTCTGTTTTTTTTAGGATGGGGTTTAATTTTTTATAACAAAGTGAGGTGTGGGGTAGGGTTTTTGTTCAAATGCTTTCTTCACTTTGTAGTTATGAGTGTGTCCATGTTCTGATTCTTTGTTAACAAATATTCACTGTTCTGATGTACGGCCTGCTGGAAGTTGAGTCGGCATTAAAGATGAATATGTGTCGTTATTTGTATTTTCCTTCCATACATTAATCATACAGGTGCTGCGTGTTCACTGCTGTATGTGGAAGATTAAAAACTGAGGTGAAAGAACATTAAAATACTTTAAAATGAACTGATTAACTACAGCACAATACATTTAGAATAAAAATGAGCAAAAATTAACTGAATGACTAAAACAAATATTTTAAAGTATATAAGAATTAAGTTCTGAAGAATTACAGCGATAAGGTAGTCCCGCTTCTTTGTTCATGGTCTCTGTTTATTTTCATCAAAGTGCTGGTATTGCACTGGGATGGGAATACAGTAGTCCCTCGCTGTGTGTGGTACTGAGTGCTGTACATGCTCATACTTTTCAGTTCACCCACATTTTGAAAAATCCTTTTTTTAATTCGCCTTAATGTTCTAATTTTCTGAGATACTGAATTTGGGGTTTTCATTAGTTGTTATAATCATCAACATTTAAAGAAATAAACATTTGAAATATATCAGTCTGTGCAATGAATGAATATAATATACAAGTTTCACTTTTTGAATGGAATTACTAAAATAAATCAACTTTTTCATGATATTCTAATTTTATGACCAGCACCTGTATGCATATATATATATATATATATATACACATACATACATACATACTAAAATAAACTACTACTTGTACTATTATTACTACTTCGTGGTTTTTCTCTTCAGTGTGCAGATCCCCCGCGCTACACGAAGGATAGCTATAGTTGGCATCATGCGGGGAGCGTCCAGAATGTCTTCCGACAGTCGAAATGGATTGTCATTTTCTCGAGCTGCAGAAGCATGCAGTCCTGTCTCCAGCTTTGCTCTCAAAGTAGTTGCAGACGTCTCAAACTCATCTGTTTTGTTGCAGGCGTCTCGACACGAGCTGTATTTTGACTTGTGCATTGGACAAAACATGCTAATTAATCGTAAAAGTGTGGATGGCTTGGCACGTCTGGCTACTGAACAATAATGTTTAAATCATATTTTGTACCATCAGTCTTCAACTGAGCCGTTTCTCAATCTGCTGATTGAAAACATCACATTATGATGCTGCCACCACCATGCTTCACTATGAGGATGATTTCAGAATGACGAAACACTAGATCTGAGCCAGGTGGCCAAGAAGTTCTGTTTTTGACTCCTCTGTCTGCAAATGGTGAAAGTGAAGGTAAAAGTTCAAGCTGAAGCTCTAAAACCTGGAAAAAAAAAGTCATAATCATATCATTTATAGAAACCTCATCACTGCACAAACAATTCAACTTATGCAAAACAATGAACTGAATGTTCTTATTTAGCTGATGGTGGTAAAGTGATTGTAAAAGTAGATCAGCGCGTGCTGTCTACCTTCTGACCTCGCTAAAGTTTCCCCACACATCCAGAATCAATGTTTTAGGACCATTGATTAGTACATTTAAGTTTTGTAAAAACAAATATACAAAAACATAAACGTCAATATAGTATTTATCTTTGTTCTTCATTTAAGAATGTTAAGATATGAATCAGTAAGACAGATTTTTGACCTTAATCACTCGTTTGTAGAAAAACAACCTTGAGTGGAACAGAAGCAAATCAGTGTCAAATACGGCAGACGATGATGACTCACAACAAATGTGTGATTCAGTTGATTCTGACGTGGTTGCACAACACCTGTACCTGAGAAAGGAAGTCCTTATATGGTCACAAGTGAGAAAACTTGCAGCTACAACCTGTAAACTGGGTTTTAGTGAGCTGAGAGAGACTTGATGGATGCATGGTGGGGTTGAGTGTTACGTGGCTGATTGAGCACTGGGTGAGGCTTGGAAGGAAGTCTAGAGTGTCACGTCTTTACACTCCCAGAACGCACGGATTCAAAAGATTTGGAATGCACTTCTTAGAACTTCAGTGACATTTTCTAGTAGACCCACACAATATACTTTTCATTGGTTTCTCAGACCTAGTTTGGGTTCCTATCAACCATTACATGTTTTTTTTTTCCCTACCTAAGTTGTATCAGTTTTATTCACCATGTTCTGATCCACTTTCACTTTTGTTCAGGTCAGGTAGGTTATAAAATCTGGACTTAGAGCACTATGGTCCGTTCTGATTTTATATGTCAATCATTTTAGAGCACCGTTAAAATGTACTGGAACAAAGTAAACTTGGAAAAAACAGTTTATATATATATATACTTTTTTCTATTCAAGTGACAAAGAAAAAAAAAGACTTTGGAATGAGTTTTGAAATAGATGTTTTTTTCTCTTCAGAATCTGAGTGAAGGTGCAACAGCAGCAGAAAATCTGTGTTTAAGGAACATCTGGAGGCGAGACCTTGATTCATGGACGTGTATTAATCATGGGGCGCAGAGCTTTATGATTCATACACTCCTTGGACAAATTAAATAAAAGGCTTTGAAAGAATCATTGAGCTCAATTTAAAATCCATTCAAAGCACCATGTGAAGATTTCATTATGGGGAGCAAAGAGCAACGAGTTCAGATGACGTGCTTCCCATTTTTCTGTTTATCAACTCAAAAGTACATAACTAAATCAAAAATAAACAGTTTCACATTTAAATATATAAAATAATATATGCTAAATAAATGATATGCACATAAAACTCAAGTTATTTCCTTTATGGAAATTCCAAAGGAAAGTCCAGAAACATGAAAGACAACCAGTTTGTTTTTGTTTTTTTTTGTTATCTGTCTGTCAAGTGTCTACATTCCTGGTAATAATAACTACCTTCTGCACAGTTAGTAACACATGCTGGCGTTCTAAATTTAAACAATACAAGGAGTCCATGTCCTGACATTCCTGAGGCCCTGCTGTCTTTCCCCGACACGGCAAAAGGAAACGCTTTTTAAAAAAATCGTTAAATAACATTTTAAAGCATTTTTATTACAACCATACCATGCCATACCACTTTATTTATAAAGCACTTAAAAACAGCAACAAGGCCAACCAAAGTGCTGTACAACAGAAACAAGCAAAGGACACAGCATAAAAAAACAGATCCACAGAGATAAGAACTACCGGTAAATGACTAGCATTATAGAATACAGACAAATTAAAATCAACTCACACATTGTCAAAAGCCAGGGAATAAAAGTGTGTCTTTGAATATGACTTAAAAACAGTGAAAGAGGAGCCTGCCTGACATGTAGTGGTAACTCCTTCCACAGTTTTGGACCTGAAACAGAGAAGACCCTGTCATCTTTCAGCTTGAAACAAGTGCCTGGAACCAGTAAAAGCATCTGGTCTGCTGAGCACTGTGGGAGATATGGCTGCAGCAGATCAGTAAGTTAAGAGGGGGCAGAACTGTTCAGAGATTTAAAACCACAAAGAAGGATTTTAAAGTTAATTTGTAATTAAACCGGGAGCCAGTGAAGGGAGGTCAGAACTCATCTAGAAGTAGATCTTTGTGCTCGAGCAGAAGTTTGTGATGTTCCTCGGCTGATTTATTGAAGTTATCTACATTTCCTGTTAGTCACACACTTAAAACCTCGAGTGGAACAGAAACAAATCAGCTAGTTGAGTCAAATAAGACAGACAATGACTCATGACCAGTGTGTGAAGGGTCATTCAGTTGATTCTGAGTTGGTTGCACAACACCTGTACCTGAGAAAGGAAGTCCATATATGGTCACAAGTGACCAAACTCTTGCAGCTACAACATTGCAACTGTGAACTGTTGGAGAGGGAGATGGATGAATGGTGGGGTTGAGTGTTACGTGGCTGATTGATCGCTGGGTGAGGTTTGGAAGAAAGTCTAGCATGTCAAGAATTTACACTTCCAGAGCGCACTGGCTTGGAATTGCACTTCTTAAAACTTGTGGAACTTCAGTGGCATTTTCTGGTAAATCCACACAATAAACTACTTTTCATTGGCTTCTTAGACCTAGCTTGGGTTCCTAAAACCAACCCTAAATGTTTTTCCTACTTAAAAAAATCTTGTAGTTCAGTATTTTTTAATAACTGATATCCCAAAGGATCCTTATAAACAATACCTCTTTTTTTTTTCCCAGACAACTAGATCTTATTAGATAATCAGAAAAGCTGCTTTAGTTGCCAGTCAGGACTAAAATGAAGATAAGTAGATTATCTTAAATTGTGTAAATCTTCTCACAGATCTCTAACAACTCTCAAATTTGCTAAACTATAAAAATACTCTACTTTAAGGACTTTTTGAAACCCTTGCAGCCATCACACACGCTATCAGTGGTTCCCATTAGCTGCCTGGATGAGGGTCAGTCTTTATGACTGTATGAAGGTGTTGTTGTAATAAACCACTCATTTTATTTGTAATACCAAGAACCTTTCCAGCTCTTCAATCAGCAGGTCATGTTGTTTATCTTTATGAAGTTGTATCAATTTTATTTTGAACACATTCAGGTCCACTTTTGTTCCTGTCAAGTCAAACCTGGACTTAGAGCACGATGGTCTCCAGTTCAGCTCATGACCCTTTTACCATTTTTATATATTGACACCACTAATAATCTAAAGATTTTAATCATAAATATTGGGTGGTTTAATTGATCACGTCTGTGCAGATGATTGAGCCTACAAACCTTTTTTCTCTGGATAATCTTGTTTCTGTGCTACACCTGTACCTCACCATTAGGTGGCGAGAGTGTCCACATCACTGTATTATCCAAACAGAAAGAAAAAAGAAAGAAGAAAAAAAAACCTTGGGTGAACAAGTCCCAAAAGCAATTATAGCCCATTAAAAATAATAATAATTTAATTTTTTTAATAAAAATAAATAAATATAT